GCATGGCGGTCCCGTGGCTCACCACCGTCGGTACAGGTACTGCAACACCAACACCCTACGCGCATGGACGGGAACCGCGGGGCTCGGTTCATCAGTTCGGCAGGACAAGCAGCCTCGCCTCGGAAGACCAACCCATGGTACACCATGCAACCCCACTCACGTTCCAACCTGACCCTTCGCAAACCCCAAGCCCCTCAGCCAAGGAACGGTGAAGAGAGAGGGGCAGAGGGGTCTGCTCTTGCTTCTCTCCCACCAGAAACTTGTGATTGTTAGACAGGCGGCCGCGATCCGTGCGGACAGCTAGCCATTTCTATACCGGGTCCCGTGGCTATTGGAGCTAGCGTCTCCAGCAACAATAACAAACCTTTCGCAACGCTCGATGAACGTCTTCCAACATTCACATTCGGAATTGCTTGGCAGACAGGATATCAACTTTCACCGCAGCAGCAAAAGCAGCCAGCAGCTGGGCACGGTATCCGCAGAAGACTCAAGACTGTCGTCACAGAGAAAAGAGCGTCCAGAATTAGAAACGATTATCCCTCTGCACTTTGCTTGATGCAGTGCGTATTTGTGCTTGACATTGCGGTCGGCAGATTTCAGCTTGCCGCTTCTCAAGTCACGCTTACAAGAAGGCCGAGCCGAAACGCTATACAAGTCGCACACGTCGATCTCGCTTCATTTCGTAAAAATGACCCTTAATTTCTCGATTTTCTGTCGAGGCAGATTTCCGGGGCTCTTGATAAGTCGCGCTGAGAGCGATTCGGGCGCGAGCCGCCTCGCCTGTGGCCTCCCTCATCGCGGGACATGAATTCGAGGGCGCGTATGCATCTGCATGCATGCGTGCATCCATCGGTCCAGGCTCCGCGCGATGGGTTGGGCCTTTGGACGGCCAAGCAAGCCGACCGCAAATCCCCGGCGGAGCGCGGCGGGCGGCAAAGGCAGAATGTTCATGCGCGCGCGCGCGGTTAACAGCATGCAGCATGGCGAGACTCGCGTGCGGGTGCGCGCGGAGATGCGCGCTCGAGCAACTGCCAGCTGAAGTCGAGCTTGTGACCCTGAGCAAATAGAACACGAAACAAAAGCCTTTTGAATACATATCTCAGAGACGTTGCGGGTGCTATCACAGCGTGGCGCTGCATGAGGCTTGCATATGCATGCCTGCAGATGCATGCAGATCTCTCTCGCACCGTTGAGCTGTGTACGCGCGTGCGATCATTTTTCGTCTTTGCTCTGGCGCGTCTTGTCTTTTCCGCGGTTGCGCCGTACCGATCGATCGAACTCGTGACTGCATGGGAGCCGCTGCCCGTGTGACAGCTCCGCTTCTGATGATTCAAGAGAGTCTGAAGTCACGAGTTCGTCAGTCCGTTCGTTGGTCAATTTTTGAATCAAGTCACAAAGTCACGAGTCTCAAAGTCGTGTCGTGACCTTCATCTCACCGTACGTACAACACAAAGTCGCGAGTCGCGAGTGGGTACATTTGACTCACCATTACAGCAGGTCCGCAATCGCAAGTGATACGCATGCACAGGCTTCTGATCGGAACAGGTGTGATATGGCCTCGCAACGCGCTACATCCCGAGACCCACATCCACAGCCCCAACTAGAATCGAGGTGGAGGGAGCTACGATTGCAAAGGTATGACGTGCCGTGGCAATCGACCGTAATTCTTGCGCCTCATCTTCTTTCCACCCAAATCCTCTGATCGACTTTCTGTTTCTTGAATGAAGGCAACAGACGCATCGAGCCCCCCTCGAGATTGACGGGTGGGTGGATCAAAGCGCACCGCACGGCGCACAACGTTCCCACACATGCCATGCACAATCGTGAATCACGAATGTGAATCCGCCCGCCATGCCCGCAAAAAGTCTGGCTGGGCCTGCTCTTTGTTCACAAACCCGCAAAGAGTGGAGTTATCGAGGGTACGTGTGTGTACAATAGCTTCCTTACCCCCCGCCCCCCGAACACGCACCCCCACACGCTTCGTGCGTGGCTTGTAGCTATTCAAGAACTCGCCCATCCCCCCCCCCCTTCCCCTCCCAAAGCTTTCGCGACTTGCCAAGAACAAAAAG